AGGTCACCTGTCTATGACTATGTTGGGGAAAGTCCCCCATTACTGTTTAGGAGACGGGATAAAACCGTCCCCCGCCTTCTATTCCTATCCTTGCCACCACCCCTTTTTTTTGGTGCATCTCTCTCTGGCACTGTTGTCTGTCATTTTCTAATTTTGGACCTGTTCGTTTGTTTTTTTTTTCATGTGCTGCTTGTCCTCTTCTGCCTGTCACTGCGTACTCCTCTCAGCTTATGTGGTACATCTTTTTTGTACCATCTGGGCTGTTCCTGTCCCCCCTGACTGTCTGAATTGTTTTGGGTCCGGGGCCAGGTTGCGGGTCCTCAGTTACTCCTCTTTCTTTCTTTCCCTTTATTTAAATTCTGACTACTGTTTCTACTTTTATTTTTTCCTTATGTGTGACTCTCCCCCTTCCCCCTCCCCTTCCCTTATGATCTTCCCTGGGCCCGCCTTCTTAGCGCTTGCTTTGGTTCCAACTTCCTTAAGCAGCTCTCCTATTTTTGCAATGGGACCCCTAAAATTCTTACTCTGAACTTCGGGGTTTGAATATCCCTCAAAAATGAAACAAAGCCTTCCGATTCTTTGTTTCCCCAGAAAGCGCACATCATATGCCTCCCAGGAAACCCCACTTCCCCCCCACTTCCACTCCTAAATTTTTTGGTCCTCTCAAAACTTTCACCACCCCGTGAAAACTAAGTGTAGGGGGAGTCCTCATTGCCTTCCATCTCAACCCTTCTCCCTTCATATCCAAACACCTTCCTGGGGAATACCTTAGTTACAATTGTCTCCTACTACGCCCCCAATCAAGATCCCCTCCCGTTCCTCTCCACTTGTTGATACCATAGATCATCATAAGCGCGGGTACTCTACTTATCTGTGGAGACTCCAATTCACTATATATCCATTTCTGGACAAATCCCTCAGCCCCCCCTCCTCCAACTACTTCACGTTCTTTCTACAACTTCTCAATTGCCATTCCTTGATATTTTCCCTGGAGAGAACTCCACCTGTTTAAACGAAGAAGATTACACCCACTACTCCTTTCCCATTAACGTTCTGCGCATTGACCAATATTTGTAACAGTGGTGTCAGGGCTTCCAGGGTATGACCCAGAGCGTTGTGAACTGACGCAGGAAACGCCAGAGGCTTCAGATTAAGATTATAAATTAAAATAATTTAATAGAGACTTACAAAATACCAAAACATAAACGCAGTGCAATACTAAAACATAAAACACAGTGCAAACGACCAAACCAAACCACCCACAGATAACAGTACATACAATGCAACGCGTCCGTTCAGGCAGGCCGGGTCAATAACAATCGGGGGCAGGTAGGATACAGGGGGTCAGGCAGAGACTGTCTGGGGGTCAAAAGCCAGGGAATTAAAACAGCGAGAAGTCAGCCAGAGGTCCTGAATATAAGGCAGGGCAGCAAGAATCGGACTGAGGACAGGGACAGGGACAGGGGATGCTACGGGAGGACAAGTTACAGGGCCTAGGACACAACCAAACACAACACCATGGCAGAGTCTGTGGGCTTGGCCATCCTGCTTTATTATACACCCGCTTCATCAGTTTCAGGTTGGTTTAGCTGGCTGAAAAGGTTGAGGTCTCTGATTGAGCTGGGAGCTCACGATGGCCAGCACTGGTTACTGAGATCAGATCACAAAGGCAGGGGAGTTGCCAACCATGACTGGCCCCACCAGTCCATTCTAACAGTATCCCCCCCCCAAAGCACCCCCAGGTGCGGCTCCTCAGGACGCTTCCAAAACAGTCCTAGCTGGGCAAAAATGTTCAACGCCCGGGTTGGGTAACTTGCGGATTCAAAGACTGGAACATCGGGCAGGACTAGCCGGGCAGCGGCCACACCGGGCAGGACTTTCGGGCTCAGCGGCCACAGCGGGCAGGACCTCCAGGCAGCGGCTCACCGGGCAGGACTTCCAAGCAAAGGGAGATCCGGGGCAGAAGAGGACATCGAGCTGGACTACCAGTGTGTCGCGGCCACACCGAGGCAGGACTCCGCGGCAGCGGCACACGTGGCAGGACTCCGAGCAGGACTCAGGGCAGAGGCACATCAAGCAGGACTCCCGGGCCAGCGGCACACTCAGGCCTAGGACTCCGGGCAGCGGGCACACCGGGCAGGACTCCGGGCAGCGGCACATCGGGCAGGACTCCCGGGGAGCGGCACATGGGCAGAAGGCACATCGACGGGGGCACGACAGGGCGGACTCCGGCAGCGGCACACCCGGGCCCGGACTCGGGGGAGCGGGGACATCGGGCAGAGGCACATCGGGCTGGGACTCACGGGCAGTGGAACATCGCGGCTGTGACTCCGGGCAGTGGGCACATCGGGTGGGACTCCGGGCGAGGCAACATCGGGTGGACTCAGGCAGGAGGCACATCGGGCAGGACCCTCTGCCCCCCGGGCAGGACTCGGGCAGAGGCAACATCGGGAAGGACTCCCGGGCAGAAGGAACACCATCAAGGAGGACTACGGGCAGAGCCACATCGGTGCAGGTACTCGGGCAGAGGCACATCGGGCAGGATTCCGGGCAGCGACACATCGGGCAAGGGTCTCCGGGCCAGCGGCACATCGGGCAGGACTCGGGCAGACTCCGGGCAGAGGCACATCGAGCTGGACTTGGGCAGATGGACACATCGAGCGGACACCGGGATCACCAGGCGGAAGCAGCAGGCAACCGGGCCACCAGGCGGAGCAGCAGGCACCGGGGCCACCAGGCGGTAGCAGAGCGGCATCGGGCACCCAGGAGGGGGTGACAGGCATCGGGCCCCCAGGCGGGGGGAGGGGCGCCGGGCCCCCAGAGGGAGACAGGCATCGGGCCCCCAGCAGGGGCGGCAGGCGCCGGGCCCCCAGAGCGGGGGCAAAAGGCATCGGGCACCCCAGGCGTGGGCGACAGGCATTTGGGCCCCCAGCGGGGCGCAGGCATCAGAGTCCCAAGGCGGGGCGACAGCCATCGGGCTCCCAGCGGTAAGCTGGCGGGCGGCGGGCCCCCAGAGGGGCGACAGGCATTCAGGCCCCCGAGGCGCGGCGACGGGCCCCCAGGCGGAGCGGCGGGCATCGGGGCCCCCAGGGCGGGGCGCAGGCATAGGGCCCCCAGGAATCTAAGGAGCCCCCCCCCTGAATTGTGGGCGCCGAACGGCAACCAGGCTGCCACCACGGGAAGGCATGTTCTAAGATGGGAGTTCTGACCGGTTTTGGATGACTGGCAGGAGGTATTGGTGGAAAGAACTTTCGCCTTTTTCCTGGTTTTAGTTACCCGGTCGAGCACCGTAAGTAAGCGAAGGTTTGTAAATGGATGGAGCAGCTGGAGACAGAGAAGAGCTGGAGGAGGAACAGGGGGAGGGAACAGTTGCTACAGAGGGCTTCTTTTCAGGGTTAAAGGCAGGATAGGTGCAGTGAGTGGGAACAGGGGGTACTGACATTGCGGTAAATTGCTGGGATATACTGGGCTTGTAACTGGATGGTTGCTGTTGGGGAATGCAGGAATAGAGCTTTTTAAGAAATTTTATTAGAAGCAGCATGGGTTTTTGCAAAACTGACTGAGGTGGGTTTTCAAACAAGTTTTGACCATGTCTGCGTATGGGTTTTTAAACAAAGTCAGCTTTCACCAAAAAGGGCCCGTCTGACCAAAAAACTGCACTGCATTTATACAATCCCTTTAAAACCTGGGTTTTAAAAAAGCAGAATAGCGCTCCAGAAAATAATTTCCAAATAAACCTATTAAAAACCTTTCCCGGGAACTTCTACCTGGGCCCGGGGGTAAAAGGGGGGGCAAAAAACTCATCCCCCGCATTCGGGGGGGTACCGATGAAACCAACTCAGGGACAAAAACCCGAATAATGGGTGCACCTCAGAGGGAAATCTGTGCCCCTGATCTAAAAGGGCAATGGCGATCCCTTTTACTTTTTAGCAGTTTTTATTTCCCCCGGGGGGTAATCCTTTAGAGTTTATAAGCAAAATTCTCTGTTTATTTAAACAATAGCCCGAGATAAATACAAAACCTCATCAAGAACCATCCTTTTCCCCGCAACAAGGGCCCAAAATTGGGGTTCCATGTGCAGCCACTTTTTGGTCAGGATTGGCCCTTGGGTTTTAAGTCAGGGGTCCAGGTATGACCCCGAGGTATGGAAATGACGCAGGGGAAAAGCAGGCCAGGATTTTTGTTATAAAGAAAAATAATTTATTAAAAAATAAAAAATTCAAACATAAAAAGCCCGTTTTCAATTCCCAAAAAAATAACAAGTGCAAACGAACCAAACCAAACCACCCACAATTTAAAAGGACTTAAAAATGCAAGCGTTTTCCGGGTTTTTAAAGGGGGAAAGGGCCCGGGGCCAAAAAAACAATGGGCAGGTAGGTACAGGGGGGTTTTAGGCAGAGAATGGTCGGGGGTTTAAAAACCAGGGATAAAACGGAGAAGGGCAGCAGAGGTCCCGGAAACAGGCAGGGTCGGCAAAAGAAAACAACAGAGGGAAAGGGACAGGGACAAGGATGAGGAAAAAAGATACAGGGCCCCGGGGAAAAAAAAACAACAAACCCAAGGCCCGAGGGCGGGAGGGGTTTGCCAAACCTTAAAAAACACCCGCATAATCAAATTCAGGTGTTTGGATGGCCCGCAAGGGGTTTGGGCTCTGATTGCTGGGGGGCCAAAACCCCCTGGCCCAGCCCTTTGGGACTGCAGCCCCCAAAGGAAAGGGGAGTCCCAGCATTTTCTGGGGGAAGGGCCAATTTTTCCCGACCAATGGGCACCTTTTAACCTGGGCTTTTTAAAACCCTTTTTTAAACCCCTTTATATCCCCCCCCGTCCCCTTGGTCCCAAACCCTTGTTTCGTTGTTTTGTCCTTTCTTCCCATTACCTCCCAAATTTTTGAATAGTACATGGGGGAGGGTCAACGCAACTTACTTTCCCATTTCAACATTGTCTTGACCCTTGGGGAAGGGTCTCAAAAGGCATACTAGATTTAAACTCTTTCCCCAGGGTATCTCCCCTCTTTTTTTTATGGGAAAGCGCCCTAAGCCCGTTCTCCGGGGCTTTGGGATTAGCATATAAACCCTTTTTCCCCCACAAAAAAAAAACCAAAAAAACTCGGGTTACGGGCTTTTATTTCAGCCAAAAACCCTTCCCCCTTTTCACAGTAAAATATTGGAAAAAAAACCCCCCTCAAAACTTCACCCTCTTCCTGACTGACCAAGCTGAACTTTCTCTACGGGAGGGCAAGGGCCCCAAATATTTTTACTAAGGTAACAAACCCGATACTTTCTTGTCCCCTTCCTCTTGTGATTAGACCATACATCTAAACCCATTCATCTTAAGCTCTCCCAAAGGAGTTTTTTATGCACCCTGTCGCATACTCCCTACCCCAAAAAAACTTAGGGGCAATGTACTCCCAGAC